GAGATGGATGCTGAGTTGGAGGTGCCACGATCAAATACCCAAAATCATCAATCAAACAAATTACTCTTATCCCTTAAATTGTTTAGGGAAATAAAATTGGGGATTTGGGGATCTAGGGTTTTACTTCGTTTGCTAGCTTCCATCGTCTTCTTCCCCTCTCCTCGCCAAGAAGCACGGTCAATTATTCGAGGCGCAAGAGCTCGGCTTCGATGGGGCGTCGTTTTCCAATGATTCTTGTGACCTGGCGGTGACTGCGAACCCGTTAATGGCTCCGATAAGGGGTTTGGGGCACCGTTCCATCTGGGCAACAGTATTAGACTCCAGGTCCTTCACGTCACCCTTAAACACGTCCTCCGCCGCCGTCAGATCGACGCCAGAACAGAACGCCCGACTCGACCCTGTAAGGATTATGACCCGTACGGAATTGTCCTTTCCCAGGGCCTTGAACCCTTGAGCAAGATTCTTCATCATTGCCCGGGTCAACGAGTTGAGGGACTTAGGCCGATTGATGGTGATCGTCGCAATTCCGTCCGGTTCCCAAGTCACGAGATCAGTTTCTCCATCGAGGATTGATCCATTTCTTCCTTCTTTTTCTTCAGCTCCAAAGGTGTGTGTGTATATTTTTTTGTTCAAGACAAAGAAATATGATTCAAGCTGTGCGCTTGCACCCTTGAGTTTGTGTTAATGGTTTTTTTATATTTATTTTTATGGCTATCGGTTTTTTTTATGATATTATGTTTTGAGGTTGAAGTCTACAATGAGGGTAATGGGTTTTGCATAATATCACCAATGAGGAAGAAAAGCTTAATCAGCTGTGATTTTTATTTTCGCCACTTTCTAACCAATCTAGTTGCGTTTTCGTTGAAATTGTGGGTAGCAACTAGTTGCATATTTTTCAAATTGACCTTGTTATTCAATACTACCTATGTCTAAACATTTGTATTCAAAATTTTAATTGGCATTTGGAATTCAAATTAGTGGGTGGATTTAATTGGCAAGGAAGCTGACAAACGAGGTAAAACCCTAAATACCCAAATCCCCTTTTTTATTTCCCTAGAATTTAAGGACATAAAAGTAATTTTGGGGTATTTGTCTAGGTGGCTTGTCCATCTTAGCACAAAACTGCCACATCAGACGCAAAAGAGGGGTGGGTGAACGGACTATTAAAAGCTAACAGAAGGATGGTGCTGGCGTTACTTGAGGGGGTGATTTGCCACTGCAGGTGAGTTGAGGAGGTGAGTTGAGGGGGTGATCTGGGCGTAAAGTAGGTTGAGGGGGTGATTTGCCACCAGTGAGTGAGTTAAGGGGGTGATCTGCATCTTTTGCCTTTTATTTACGAAATAAATAATTCAATGATAGTTTTTTTATTGAAAATAAAAAATTTTAAATTTAAATTATAAAATATGCAGAGATCAGGAAAAAAAGAGAATTATTTTTTATTATATAAATAATTTAATGATAATTTTTTTATTAAAAA